TACAATTATCATTACCATTATTATTACCATTACCTTTACCAATGCCATCACGATAACCATTACCGTAATCATTTCCAGTACAATTACTATTAGCATTTCCATTACCTCTACTATTTCCATGACCATTAACATTACCATTACCATAACCCTAACCATAGCCGTTACCGTCATTATTACCATTGCCACTAGAATTACCATTAAGATTATCAATGCTACTACCACGATGACTACCAATACCATTACTATCACCATCATTTTTAATTTTACCATTTTCATCATTATTACCATTTATAATACAATTACCATTAACATTTCCATTACCATTACCAATACCACTACCATTTCCAATACCATTACCATTACCAATACCTTTACCATTACCAAAACCATTACCATTTCCAATACCTTTACCATTACCAAAACCATTACCATTACCATAAGTCTTACCATTTCCATTACTACTACCAATACTATTACCATAACCATAACCATTACCATGATCATTCTCATTACTATTACCATGAACGTAACCATTAAAATTACTGTTGCCATTATCATTACCATTACCAACACCATTACCATTACTATTCCTATTACCATTACCATTACTATTACAATAACCATAACCAAGAACATTAGCATTTACATGTACAAATCGACGGACAAATTTTAGTTAATCAAATACTACGTTCTATTACCTTAAGTGCTCGTAAGACGAACACAAGCTGTCATCCAATCAACTGAAAAAAATATGCATTGTGTGTGAATTAAGTACTACGCTTTAGGTGATCTCATACAAATTTTGAAAGCATGCCAATTTCGTTTTCTTTATGAGAAATTATGTGCGTATAAAAGTATGTATGTATATAGTCGTGAAATGCTATTAATCCATATCTGGTCTGCTTTCCTCAGAATTCAAACATACAATCATACATACTATTTGCATAGCAGATTTCAAATGCTGAATAGCCTTTGTTCTCTTTTCGGATATTTTTATAGACCATTTCATTCTCACTCTGACCGCCTACAATGAATATGCCATGACTTGACTCTCAACAAGTGTACATATGTATACGCATACGCGTACGCACGCAGTTCAATGTCTTACTTTTTGCTAGCCACTTTTATTTGTGGCTTGGTTGAATAGTTAAATGGTTGAATAACTTGATTTTGTTTATAAGCCGGTAGGTTAGCTGGAATGAAAACTGAGATGGCTTGTCTGTTCATTACGTTTATTATTAAAAGAAGTACATATTTACGTACATATGTATGTATATGTATGCGTATGATTGCATGTGGTTAAACGTGAATTTGCCACATACCATATGTATGTTTTTTTTTTGTACTTTTCTGATGCTTAAGCCTTTGTTAAGATTATTGCATGAATTTGCTCTTTTTGGCTTTTACTGGTTCTTTGTTTGTTGACAAGCATTCGGTTGTTGTTATTGTCGATGCTGGGAGACTTTTATCCATTTTCTAGCCGGTCTGTTTTTGCAATCTTTGGCTTAGTTTATGGTTGATCTGTATGGTTGATTAATTTACGAATGTCTGAGTAGCTGAATATATGCGCATATATTTTGGGACATTTGGGCAACGATTTTGATTTCACTTAAGTTGTTGTGTGTAACTTTAGGTCGTTCAGTTATTTATTTACTAAATACGTATTTTCATAAATTTATAACTTTATACTTTTGGTTTTCACTTTTCTTTATGAACGCATGCTTAATTCTTCCCTAGCCTGCTGAAAAAACTTAAAGTACACCAATCCCGCAACACCCAACTCTTGCTTTCTTTGAAGCAGACAACTGAGAGTTGCCTGAAACGTTGTTGGCGTTCAGGTGCGTAGTAGGATCATACCAGTTGATGAGATAGTCTGCCAATTCTTGCCCCGTGAAAAGCATAAGTGTGCCTTTTTGCTCGCGACGCTCCAGCAGTCACAATGGCCGACAGCGCAAAGCACTCGCGTGGTAAGCCTGAGGTGCCAGGTTCAAATCCTGGCGCAGGGAAAATTTTTTTATTTTTTGTTTTCTATTTTTATTTTATTTTTATTTTTTATAAATTTATTTTTTTTTTGCTATTTATTCTGATTTTTAAATTTAATAAAAAAAATATTTTTGTTTAATTTCTTTGTTTTTATAGCACAAGCATTTCTTCCTAAATGTTTTTTTGCAATGCAATTAGATTTTCAAAATAGTTATTTATTTATAAATTGAATAAATTATTTTTACTTACATTTATTTAACTTTAAAAATCTTAACCACCTCCAAGCGGCCTCGAACCTGCGATTTCAGAACCGGAACCAGCAGTCTTCACGTGACGCCACAGTCGACATTTGTAAGAAAAGCAACTAATTGCGTTTTATTTTTGGCTTTGGCAATTCAAAGACAGATATCGCTGGTCGCCTAAGTTCTTCGAAATTGTCGAACTGGTAGGCACATACTAGTTAATGAACTAGTCTTTTTTCTAACTGGTTTGGCTTTTCACTTGGACCAATTATCATCTATTTCTTTTGCGATGCGTAAGTTCAAATAACGTGAAATGTCCGATTTTACGGTGATGTTGTTATGTGTGCTATTGATATCTATTTTTTGCAGCTAAAATCTGCACGTTCGTTGCCAAGTATGCCACAATATCCTGTAACCCATAATCATTCAATTTTTATTTTGAATTTACTGAGTTTAGTGCGCATAACTTCTTTATTACTTGAATTGCGTAGCGCGTTAATTGAGGCTTCCCTGTCCGTGCAAATAATGTAATTTCTTTTTGGCAGTAGAAGCGGTGGAAGTTGGGGTGTTGTTACAAGAATCGGTTTAAGGGGATTATCAATCTCTTTAGAAAATTCTGCTGGTCCGGAACTAAACAAAAAATGAACACGAAAAGGTCCCAGAATGGTCGCGAACTAGTTCCGAAGTGATTTCGTAAAAGTCTTAAACTCCATGGTCAGCTGATTAAGTCAAGTGAGATTTTGACTAATTTTGGTTATTTTCCTTTCGCTTATTTAATTTTTATATCTTTTTATAAAAGTTTAGTAATTTACCTAACCACCGCTACATAAATCCATATTTCAAACTTCGTACAAAAATTATGAAAATTCAACAAACTTTAACAATTGCCCAACAATTTAATTTTAATTTTAAACTTTTTATTTAAAATTTTTAGACAAATTTTGGGTATGCAGTTTTGAAGCTCATTAAATTTTGGTAGGTTATGGTGCAAATTTCATGACGCTATAAAACTGAGTTGATGTTTAATTATTTTTTTTGCTGTTGGTGCAAGGTGAATAATTTGAATGTATCTTTTTAAACACGTAGCAACCCTTTTCAAATATTTCAAATGGTCAAACTAAAGATTTCCTAACATTCTTTCGTTTGACTGCGGTCTTTTTATATTTCATATACTTTTTGTATTAGTTAATTGAGCTAGGCATTTCAAACAGGTGGCAGCCCTCTTCAAAAGTATTTTCAAGCTTAATCCATGTTAACACTCCTTCGCCTGACATTGCGATACATATTTTAAATTACTAATGAATTAAGGGGAATTTGATTTTTTAAACATGTGGCAACCCCGCTAGGTACAGTTCAGAAATAAAAGTTTTTCAAACCCCCTTCGACTGATACCTATGTTTTAATAATTCATTAAACTTATTAAATAATTTGAATTGAACTTTTTAAACAGGTGGCAGCCCTCTTTCCACTGCTCAAAAATACTCTGGCGTTCAAACTAAATATTTCTTAATACTCCTCGTTTGACATCCATATTTTGATGTTTCAAGTAACTTTTGTATAAGTAAACCAGATTCGACATTTCAAGCAGGTGGCAACCCTCGTCAAAATATTTTCAAACTACTACTTTCTGAAACCCTTTTCGTTTGGTACCCATATGGTGACGCATATTTTTCTTACCTAATATGATTTTTTAAACATGTGGCAACCCTCCTATAGCTCAGCTGAGAAACAAAGCCCTTCGAAACCATTTCGGTTGATACCCATTTTGTAATAGAGTACTGGAACTTGGTACGGGGATATATAAAATCAAGACCATACTCGCGGAGCGTTATTGAAGAACGGAGTGGGGGAGGCACCTCCCATACAAACTGAATTTATCATACTACATACCTGTGGATGTATTTGTGGTAGAGTACTAAGATAATGAAAGAGGTTTAAGAAGGTTGCAAGGTTTGAAAATATTTCGAAGAGCGTTGCCACCTTTTTAAAAATTTTGTATTCAAATTATTTTATAAATTAAATAAATTATTCCAATTTGGTTATCAATACACATGCTTTTAAGAATGCATAATTGCTAAGCTACATGTTAGAGGGTTGATACTTGTTCAAACAAAAAAATTCATTTTCGATTAAAATATGTATCATAATATGGGTGTCAGACGAGAGAGGGTAAAGAATGTTTTAATTTGAAAATATTTTTAAGTGGGTAATGAAATAAGAATGTGAAAATCTCTTATTTTTTGGCTGCGTTTGAAACACATATGTATGTATGTACACATTTAATTGAAATTAATTGTACCTAATGTAACACGCAGAAATTTCATACACGCAGTGAAGCGGGTGAGGGCGAACTAGTGAAAAATTTTGAATTCTAAAAAAATACTATATCTATGTAACTAAGTGTGTACATTGTATAAAACTCTTACAGAGCTTATCTAATTCTTTGCTACTATTTTTTCTACTCTACTTTCATGTTGCTGCTGCTCATGTTACATTGGCTAACGACCGATTATGTACAAAAAATTATGCAATTGGAATAAACTGCTGTATGCACCTGGTGACTCTCACATTTAACTGGCAATTTTTTTTTTTATCCATCATCCAATGACGTTTGGCACCTCAACTCTGTGGATACCAACTCGTTTCACTTCTCCCATTACTGCTGTTTGCATTGATGTTGGTTAAAATTGCTTTTGTTGTTGGTGTTTTTACTGTTAACTGGCATGCCTTGGCTGGACTCGCCTTATTGAATTTCACTTGATACATTCGCCATAGAAATGCAAAATCATGAAGAACTGCTCGAGGATATTCGAGATGACACTTCAGTGAACCTTATACCTGAGAAAGGTAAGTGCTTTATATTAAAAAAAAATAATAATAATAATTTACACTAAATATTTACCGTTTTATTTTATGTGTAGAAAATTGTTTAAATGTCGATTCTAAATACTAACAGTCGTCATTCACAATAGCGGCGTTAAGGAAATTATTTCTCTCTGACCAAAATCCCGGTTTTCTTTTTTAAACACCTTTAAATGAATAATATTATCAAACTCATAACTATCCAACAAAACCCAAACGAAACAGGGTTAAGGTTATTCATATACTTTTTCGCCACCAGTTATTTCTGAGCCAAGTCACCCTTTTCGCTCTATGGTCAGCAGGTTACGTGGCCTTTGCACATAGGACAGTATCACTAATTCTATCTCTAATTACTATAAAAACGTTTTTTATAATAAGAAATACTTTTATTTTTTCATAATTTAATTTACTTTTGCACAAACAACTGAAGCTTTGGCATTGTTTTTTTATTCCAAGCGCCTCATTGTAAATCCATGACATTTTGAACTTCCTTGATATTATTGGCCTCCATTTGCATATTTCTTTTGCATATCGGCGGCATATCCCGCAAGAGACACACATACAAACCTATAAAAAGTGCACTTTTTCCGATCTCAATGCCATTAGCCGCAGCACTGCGGTCACATTCTACGATCCCTAACCACAATTTTCATAAATTTAACTGCTTACGTTTTAGCGGTGCTGATATCTCCATACCGTGTGACATTTTCCAATGCCTGCCACATACAAAAACCGCCATTTTCGCTAATACTCCTACATAATTTTACGTTATTTCTTATCCTTCTGCTGCATTTTTTACATTCCCAACTTTGCATGTAATTTCTTTTATATTTTATTCATTCTTTTGCTTGTTTGTTTTGTTCGCGGTTTTAGTTGCGATATTGGCTTATTGTTGTTGCGTGGTGTAATGTAGCCGAGAAGGAGACGAAAGCACAATGGCGTAGCTTGTGTGTGTGTGTGTGGCATGCAACATGACAGCAACGCGCCGTCTTGCTGGTTCACAAAGCCGCAATACCGAGGAAACCGAGCTGACAGGTGAATCTGCGGGTTGGTTTAGCGTTGCCAGACAGGCAATGAGACAGCTAAAGTGGCTTAATTTAGGAGAGTGTGTATCCCTGTGTATGTATGTGTGTGCGTGTGTGTGTGGCTAGGTGCCAGTGCTTTGTGGAAGTATGCAATGAGATAGCGATATTATGTAGCAGATTATCTTGTGCATTTATCGTGGACATATGTATATATATGTATATTAGGGTGGCTCTTAAAAATTAAATGAACGATTTTTTTTTTTTCAGTCTCACCCCCAAATGGAAATACTATAGTCACAGATGTCACATATAAATTTTGGTCCCGATTGGGGACGGTTAAGGCGTGTCGACACAGGGGGCATAGCATAGCATAGATTCCTCTATAGAGACTCAAAAATTTAAATATATTTTTTTCATTTAATACCCAAAATCGATACTAATAAAGTAAAGTGGGTACTACGTCTTCATTGGGTAATCTGAAATTTGACCTCCGTCCGACACGCCTTAACCGACCACGGGACCAAGATTTTTATGTGACATCTTCGACTACAGTAGCACTGGCGTAGGGGTTGAGGCTTTGAAAATCTGATGTAAAGATTTGCTTCCTACATTTAGGACAACCCTAATGCATATACATTTCAAATGCTTGCACGTGTACATACATGGATGATCCCCCATTAATACAAAAACAAGTAAATGTATTCAAATATCCAGGTCGACCATTTCTTATTTGAGTGGTTTTTAATATTTTTTCTCTTCATCTCCCATACGCCAACATATTAGTGTTATTGTGTATTAGGATGAAAGAACCTTCCGAGAGCTAAATTTGACAGATTTATGTGGACAAGGTGATTCGACAATTTCTATATATGTATATATTTTTTTTTTAACAATCGAATTTCGACAGTAACTGGCACTCATAGTTTTTGTAAATCGTTTGGAATACTTTTACACGTTGATGGAAGGTTCTTATCTAACTCCACTTGCCTGAATTTATTTAGTGCCATCCTAGTAGTGAAAGCACACATATTTACATATATATATATGTATAAATATGCCTTTAGTGTGGCATCAACTCAAAGAAGTATATTGTCACAATAAAAATAATAAATAAATAGTCATAAAGTATGAAGGCGGCAGCATGAATAAATCCTATTATCCTATTAATATTATAAACCTGAAAGTTTGTGAGTGAGCGATTCTGTTTGTTTGTAGCTCTTTCACGCTAAAACAGCTAGACGTATTTGAATAAAATTTGGCCTATGCCTAGATTAATAAAGAGGATTTTATTTGAAGAGGGTTGCCACTTTTTCAAATGTTAATATAAACTATTTTTTAAGTAAAACAAAATATTACAGCAATGTGTTTGTGAAAAAAAATTGTTTCAAAACCGATTTATTGCAATAAATTTTTCCGAAGAGAGTTACCACATTTTGAAAAACTTAAAATCAATTTAATAAACAATGTAAATCAAATATTTTGGTATGGGTACTAAATCAAGGTTTAAGGCAAATTCATCTCTAAATTTTTTGGAAGAGAGTTGCCATCTATTAAGAAATTCAAAATGAATTTACTTAAAAGGTTGCACGAAAAGTCTTAATCCTAGAACACACACCCGGGTACAAATGTATCCACTTTCAACTTTGAAGTGTTGTAACTTTTGAACCGCTATACCTCTATACCGCTAACTTCGGATCTAGGATTATTTAGTTTTGAGTTCAAATTCAAAATTTGAACCAGATCGGAC